AGTAACAAAGCGCCCTTGAATAAAGTTTAACTTTTAAGACAGTTTGTTCCCCCTCTCCCCAAGATATAGCTTGTTTTTTATTGTGGTCCTAACAGGTTACTGGTCATTAATACAGGAACTGTGAGGAAGACAAAAATCTAATTCTTGTGTAATTTAAATGACATTTTAAACCTGCTATACAAAATTTTCTGAAACAGTAAGATTTTAGAAACCTCTTTTTACTTAATTAAAATATCAATATGCCTAATAATTAATGTTCTTCCACCACAGTAGGTCCAAACAATTTTTGACCTATTTAATCAAATTAAGTTCACAACTTTTTTTTAAGTCAGCAAAACACTATTTTTGAAATGATGAAAAACGTTGAGAACCTCTGATTTATTTTCTGAGCCCCCCCATGCTATAAAAACTCCACGGCCCACCTGTGCCACAATAACTGGTTTTCTGCATATGAAAGCCAGGGCTGGTGTTAGGGGGTAGCACAGGGGCCCCCATGAACCTACATTGCTCAGGCTTCAGCCCCATGTGGCTGGGCTCAGGGAACTGGGCTTCAGCTTTCTGCCCTGGGCCCCATCGAGTCTAATGCTGGCCCTGCTTGGAGGCCCCCCTGAAACCTGCTCAAGGCTCCCTAGGGGGTCCCGGACCCCTGGATGAGAACCAGACATAAATGATCAGCTGATTGACTCATTTATACCCGCGTCCCTACAATCAGCTCCATGGCAACAGCATTTTAACATATTTAACTTAGAAGTTCACAAGTGCATCACCATCTTCACCCAAAAATGTGTTAAACTTAACATTAATCAATCTACTACTTACAAACAACTGCTTGGTGCCACGTTTCAGCTTTTCTAATATTCCCAGTCCCCGGTTCACTTGGTTCTATCACTTCCATGCCAGTACACCTACCTCCAATTTCTCATCTATGTTAGTTATTTTAAAACTGTGATGTTCTAGTTAAATTATGAGCATTTACCTTAATGTTGCACTTTGCTACAAGCAAATCTACTGTAGCCTTGTAACAGATAATGTGATAGAACTGAAAAACAGAAGCTAAGCAAAGTTTACATTAACATTTTATTACAAAGTTTGTATTGACCTTGAGGTAAATGAATAAATCAACTTCCAAGACATTTACACAGTACAATCTCTTCTGAAAACAACATGAGGTGAAACAAGACTCAAATTATTTTGGACGTTGGTACAGTTTAAGGTGTTGATATTTAAACTCTTAAAAAATACCTACTTTGTACATTTCCTCTTTTACCAAAACCAGATCTTATTATGAAGAAATGGAAACTATGTTATAAGAACATACAAGAGGCCATTCTGGGTCACACCAATGGTCCATCCAGCCCAGTATTCTGTCTTCCGACAGTGGCCAGTGTCAGGTTATTCAGAGGGACTGAACAGAATAGGCAATCACTGAGTGATCCATCCCCTTTCGTCCACTCCCAGCTTCTGGCAAACAGAGGCTAGGGACACTCAGAACATGGTGTTGCATCCCTTTGCCATCCTGGCTAATAGCTATTGATGGACCCATTCTCCTCATGATATAATGTACTCAACATGAGGGTATGGGTAGTCAGCAAAACTGGCTAGGAGTTTTTTTTTAAATATGTTCAGATTGTTGAAATTCAGACTTAATAATATGCCACCAGATCAATACAATCCACGGCCTCCTAAAATGGCTCTGGCTCAGTCGTATCCCTTACTAAACAGGGCTACAATTAATATCATCTAGACTAATTTTTCCAGGACCAAATCCAGCATGAATTTAACTCCTTGCATCAGTCACAAATGTAAGCATCTGTACAGCAAAAGAGATGAAGATGCTTCTTTACACAGGAGAGTTCAAACCCATTTTCATGTTTACCAGTTGTGGGTAATTACAATCCTAAGAAATTCCTGAAGCTCCATTTGTTATCGAGCTACCTGATATGCGCTGAATAAGCATAGCCTAAGACAAAACTTTCCTCCTGGCTTTCCCTGCGAGCATTCATGCGGGGAACCACTTGGAGGTAATATCCTTTTGACAATGGAAATTTAGGTTTCAGTGTATTAGAGAGTCTCAGACAGCAGTGAGTGTCACATCCTATATCTAATACTACTAAATCACAAAAACTAGCTTTCAAGATAAGTGGGGCAGCAAAGACTTTTGATCAGACTGCTAATTTAACCCAAATCCACCCTGAAGTAATGGATAGTATTTTCGCTCTGGACTCGTGCCCACAAATGCTACACAATGACTGGAGAAGTGTATCGGCTGCCGCTGGACATGCTGTGAGGAACGCCAGGAGCTGGGAGTCCTGGTGCCACAGATGAAGAACACAGATCACACTCCGAGAGGCAGAACCATGCTGGAGAGGACACTGAAGGATGCCATCCGCTGACAGTATGTGGAAAACCTGAACTGGAAGCCGGACCAGGGCAAGGCGTTCAAGGTGACATGTAAGTGGGATGCCAGCAACCACTTCCGCCCGGTGGAAGCTTCACCAGATTTGCTGACTGGAGGTTCATCTACAGGACCCGGCTCAACTGCATTCCGCTGAATGGAGCCGTCCGCCACGGGAATCAGGACAAGTGATGTAGGAAGTGCGGCAATGCCAAGACACTACTCCAAGTCCAGTGTAGCTGCAAGCCCCATTCCAGAGCCTGACAGCTGCGACATGTCATCCAAGACTGCCTGATCAGAGCCATCCTGCCACCTGCAGGGAAGGTTGCCGTGAACTCCACCATCCCCAGAACTGACAGACGACTGCAACAGGACAGTGTCATCATCAACGAGGCCGGAAGAAGGTCATCATGGTGGACGTCACAGTGCCCTTTGAGAACAGGACCCTGGCCTTCCGCGATGCCCGAGCTTGAAAGCTGGAGAAATATGCCCCTCTGGCACCTTGAGAGCTAAGGGTTACCAGGTTCAGACACATGCTGATCATTGGAGCCCTGGCCAATGGGCCCCAGTAATGAGCAAGTGTTGCAGCTCGGCTGATGTGGCAACTCATGATGTAGGACACCATGAGATGATCGAGGGACATCTACATAGAACACATCACCGGACATAGGCAATAGCAGTAGGAATGACCTGGAGTGCTGATGAGAAGCACAGTAAGGAAAGGAACTGAAATACCTCCCTGATGGATTGTATTTTCTAAATGGACAACCTACCCTAATTCTCAATTACTGAGGGACAATCTTCGCTCATTTATATATTTTGCTTTCCACGACCAACTCTCTGTACAACTTTTTATGGGTGATATACCCGAATACTTGGATGCTAATATCTAAACTGTAGTCTTAAATTTATGTTACTGCTGATTATGTACTATATGTACCATATGACTTTTAAAATCAAATTTTGTATTTGTAGATAATTCAAGCACTATATCCAGATGTACAGATGCTCTTTTCTCAACCTGTGTATTATATAATTTTAACATTAGCTTTAATAAAGATTTTAAATCTGTTATCAAAAATACACATTTAATAACATGGAGGGAGCCAAAGACTATATGAAATACATGGTGCATAAATGCTGAGTAACTATATACTAGTTATAATTTGTAAGAAGATCATGCAATAAAATGAAAACATTAAATACTTTTTCATGGTGAGCATGGTTACACAATGAACAGAGCAGGCTACAATTAGACAAGGTTTTTAAAAAAGGTTCTAAAGTCCATCAGTTACACAACTGTTAATAATGTGTCTCATTTGTTTTATATAATAGACGTTAGCAAGTGCTCACTTTATCAATGACTGAGCCAAGGTAATATTTTATTGCACCAACAGAAGTTGGTAAAAGAGACAAGCTTTTAAGATAAACAGAGCCCTTCCTCAGTGACTATCAATTTCATAGGACAGCTTCCATATTCATGGCAACAACATCTCAAAGGACTCATCACATGCCAGCTTGCATAATATAGCAACCACTATTTGGTCTAGAAAATTTCAGTTATGAGATATACCATTCTTTTTTTACCATGTGTAGACAGCTCTAGAGAACAAAATATAACATTCTGCTATATTTCCTATGATTAAGGTTTTATCAATAGTACCTGCAATTATTTCAGTTTAGTAACTAGCCATCACTAAACTGAAATAATATCAGACAAAGCTTGTCCTGTTCAAATTCACACAAATTAAGATTAATAAGCAAATAAACAGGAAATCATACAATATCTTAACCAACATACGCAACATTGTGGAAGCAAAACTTTGCAAAATTCCTCTCACCCAGAATACATATTAAGCTGTTTCAGTAAAATACCTTTTCCCCGACCCCAAAATCATCATGATAGAGGGAAAATAAATTCTGAGCCCAGACTGGGTTTATCAGGCAGGGCTGGTAAAAAGCAAAGGCTACAGATATCCCATAAGAGAGAGGTCTTACTCCCCCAAGAACTTCAGCAAGGGTTTGACAGGCAGGTTCATGATATTATTGTCTCACCCCCGCTCAGTCTCAGTGGCTGCCTGAAACAACTTCTGGAAACTGTACATAACAATGGTGCTTGTTACCAAGGCGAAGCCACTCCTGGGGGTCAGAGCAGAGCAATCTAGATGTAGATTGACTCTTGAGTCCGTCCCCACTTGGGTCAGTGTCTCGGGATGGCTTCAACGGGTCCCCAGCTCAGTGAGAGACACTCCGGGGTAATTCCACAAGGCAGCAGCCAGGCGTCTCCTTCCTCACCCCAACCCCCGCACAGACGCTGTGTGCCCCTAGTACTTCCCAGTGCCCGCCCCTCGCCCACCCCCCTTAGATCTAGGTCCCGGCCTTCGAGTCACCCACCGAGCCCCTGATACACGTAAACAGCCCCCCGAGACCCCCTACCAGCGCTTACCCTCGGAACTCACCCCAGCCCCCGCGACCGCCGCAGCTGGGCCCCTACGGTCCCACATCCCGCTGCCCCCACCAGCCTCTTCGGCCCCCGCTTCACCCCAACCCCCAGGGCTCGGAGCTCGGCCCCCCCCCGCCCCGGACCTGGCGCCCCCGCCCTCACCTGCGCTGCCGATTTCCATTCATGGAGCTGGGGGCGGCCGTTCTCAGGCTGCGGGATCAGGATCCTGCCTCTCCCCACCGGGCCGGGCGCGGCCCCCTCTCTCCCCGCGGCGCCGGGTCCGGCCGGCCGGCCCGGGGAGCGGGGCTGTGAAGCAACGGCAGCTGGGCGGCCTCCCTCCCCTCAGCCGGTGCCAGCCGAGCTCAGGCGGCGCGAGCTGGGAGCGGGAGCTCAGGAGCGGAAGTTGCGTGGCCGCCAGCAGCCCCGGCTCGCGCTCCCTCTCTCTCTCTCTCTCTGTGTGTGTCTGTCTCTGCCCTACCGCGCGCCGGAAGCTCCACCCACCCCCGCCCGCACGCCGGTCGCGCTCACTTCCGGCGAACCGCTTCCGGCTCCGCCCCCGTCTGTTAATCCGTGACGCAACGAAAGGGCGTGCCCGGAAGTGGTAAAAACAGAGGGCGGGGCGGGTGAGGTGACGCAAAGCGGGGGGGGCGGAACTTGGGGTGACGGGGTCGGTACTTCCGCTGGCGAGCGGCGGGCAGTGTCTGGTAATAGCCTGGTGCCTCGGACGCCTGGGTTCCGTGGATAGTGTCCGCAGCTCTGGCCAGTCGGACGCCTGGGTTCCGTTCCTGGCTCGGGGCGGGGGCGGGGGCGGGGCAGGAGTCCGGATGCCTGGGCTCAGGGCTTGGCACCGGCTCCGTCACTCAGCTGCGGAGCTGTAAGGGGAGGCTGAGGCGAGCCAGAGGCACCAGCGGGCTGACAGCGGGGGGGGGGGGGAGCGAGAGAGTCGCTGTCCGCCGGGGGGGATCTGAACAGTTTTAAAACCAGTTCAGTTCCAGTCCGAGGTTTGCTTTGGGGCCCCCTGCGTCATTTCCGCTGAGCTGGTCTTGTACCAGTTTGTTGTCCCCACGTCCATGGAGGGGTCGTCCCAAGGCTCTTCACCCCTGAGGCAAGATAACCTGCTTAGCAGGATGGTCCAACAATGCCCGAGCCCGCGCTGCACTTTGGCTTGCGCTAGGTGGCTAGTGTGACCAATTGGGGGTTCGGGTCTGGCTCTACCATTTCTGAATTGCGGAGATGTTTATTAGCTGTATGATGAAATGACTGTCATGGCAAGCCTGTATGTATGTGGATGTCCCATGTGTTAGCGGAGTTGTGTCACGTCTCTGGCAGGCCCAGGGACCGTGGTGAATGATCAGCGCTCAGTAATTGTCTGCTGCCAATAGATTTGCTCAATGTGGGAGAAGACACGTCCTCCTTCTCTGTGAAGGAAAGGGGGGTTTGGGGAGTAATGGAAAATTACTAAAAGGTAGAACAAAAGAAGCAGCAGATGCCAGCTGGAGTCTGTAAAGGATCAGAGAGGGGAGGTCAGAGAGCTGCCCAGGGGAATGAGCTGTTTTGCCCCAGATTAAGATGAGGGAGGCAGTTTGCGGGGGGCGGGGGTGCAGAGAATCTTGCCTACCTACAGAACACAGATGATCTCCCAAGGGAATGGGAAGCTACTGAGGAACGTTATGGTTAAGCTGTCCAGTTGTTTTGTATGATCTATGCTCTCCTATGCTTTACATGATTAAATATAAAGTAGATTGAACAAAGTGTGTGTTGACTGATTCACAACTATTGCATGCCCCTGAGAGAGTTAAACTGTAACCAGACGCTTCACACTGTTGGATGGAGTTTTGGCAGAGAAGTTGTGTTTAAATACACGGGAGTGTGAAGGCTCAGGTTGGGCCCAGAGAGTCTAGGTAGCTGGGTGCCAGATCTGCACTGTGTGTGTGTCTAGGGCCCCTGAGATTGGGGTAGTGGCTGATCTCCAGGAGCTTAAAACACCCTGGGGATCCATAGCACAGAGGCATAGGCTTTGTCTACACTGGCAACTGGAGAATAAAGCTTTTGTCTTTCAGAGCGGTTTAATAAAACCACACACCTCGAAAGAAAAGTTATGCCAACAATAAGCAAAACACAGGAGCATCGACAAAGCAAATGCAGCTTGTTGGGGTGGAAGCTCTCTCCTGCTGACAAACAGTGGCTACACTGCGTGCCTTTTAGTGGTGGCATGGCTGTAGCAACACAGCTGTGTCGCTAAAAGCTGCGTACTGTAGACATAGCCTTAGATTCTCTCTCCTCACAGCAGTCTTAGTGGGAAGAAGTGCTTGCTAGGATCTGTGACAGCTAGTACTAGTGCAGTTGCACCACAGCTTGTAAACAGAACATGATGACTCAAAACCAGAAAGGAGAGAGTTTAAATAGAAAACAACAAAGGAGGGGGAAAAGAGTGATGTGGAGCTACATTAACTGGTTAAGGCAAGTGCGACAGTACTAACCCACAAGAGACAACTTTTAGGCTCAGTGAATTTATTCTGCCCCCTTATTTTATTGTACAGTACTTCCACTGCTGGTCCTGTTTAAACGAAGTGAAGGAATTTTAAAAACACCTTCACCTTTTATTTCCTCTTTGCATTTGTCTCCGCTTAATCTATGAAAATTAAAGTCCATTTCACTTTTGCTTATTCTTAGGTTCCCTTTCAGGTTTTCAGTGCTGTACCATGTGAGATGCAGTGCTTCTGTGTTTTTAAAATAGCTGTCTTGTCTCTTAAGCTGTGGACACATTTATATTGGTCTTAATTTTTCTATGATCTTTATTTTTACCACATTTAAATTTTGGCATAAAGTGAACTGTGTGCCTTTAAATCATTGGCAAAAACAAGAGGAAGTAACCTGACATTTTCCAGAATATACATAAAATGCATCAGCAGCTGAAGGTGTCTGTCTTTAAAGGGTGGATGAAGTGATGCCTATGTGCAGTTTATAGTCCAGATTATTAATGTTGGAAGCTGGCAGGATGAAATGTACTAAGAGACATGCTATTCCCTTAGGAGATGTGTAGAGTGTTCCTGCAATAAATCCTCAGGAGTAACAGTATTTTTTTCCTCATTTCTTTTAAAAACAAACCAATCCACAATGGAAAATGGATATACACTTATCACCATTTGCATGGCTATGGCTTTCCCCCCACCCCACAACCAGCATGAATTACTTGTAAGGATCACACTTAAATGGTGGGGAAATAATGCTTGTGGAATAAAACTCTTGTAGGGGTAGAAGCAGAAGTGGGTTCAGCTGAGACTCTCATATATGGTGCATGCTTCCCCTCATCTGCACTGTGTTGCCATCTCTCCCTGCTATAATTAACTATGCCCAATGCTTGCTGCCAGCCCCAGCTGATACTAGTGTAGGGCTTGGCAGTAGCTGCCCAGTTTCTTCAGTGATTTAGGACAGGATGATTTCTTCCCAAGAGCTGGGAAAAGCAACATGGCAAGTTTCTGAAAATTTCTTTATATGCAGAAGCCAACTGCTGTTCTTGGAATTAAAGCTGGTGCTTACTGCACTGCCAAAGCTGGGAGAGGGGGGGGGGGGGGAGGGAGAGAAAAATACATTTTCTGCTATGCTAAACACATTGAAAGCTATAGCCAGGGCACTGTATAGAGTCATAGAATATCAGGGCTGGAAGGGATCTCAGGAGGTCATCTAATCCATCCCCCTGCTCAAAGTAGGACCAATCCCCAGTCAGATTTTTACCCCAGTTCCCTAAATGGCCCCCCCTCAAGGATTGAACTCACAACCCTGGGTTTAGCAGGCCAATGCTCAAACCACTGAGCTATCCCTCCCCCCTATTAAACAGCAGGTTGACAGGGAAATTAATACCCTGATTTTACATTGAAGCCCTTGGGAATAAAGAACTGGATCACATACCAAAAAAAACCATAACATGGATAAAGGCCTTGTGGCTTTGAATAGGGTGAGAGAACCTCCATCTTCATGAAAATAGGCCCACATAAATGACACCAGTAAGGGGGGGGACCCCAAATGTCTGAACTAAACTCTCCCTCTACTTAAAAACACCCCAAAACGTTTTCTGACACAGGCAGCCCAGTATCAGAGCAAGACATAATGTTCCTGGAGCAGGGTAAACCACAGCTGCTTGTGGTTTATGATCAACTTCCAGCCCAAGGCAGTTTAAAGTGGGATTCTAAAGAAATGCTATTATGTCTCACAACTGAAAAGCAGTGGTGACTTCCGTCCTCTTACTGACCTCAACGTTAAGGTTTTCATCTGCACCTAAAAGCCAATGCATAAATAACCTTGTTTAACACTTAAGTAGCAGGGCTACTTTGCAATAGTTGAAGCCAACTTCTGCTGTTATCCCAGCTCCTCATTGCTAGATCACTGCTCCAAGGGCTCTCCAATGCCAGAGATTTACAGCAGTAGAAGCACTTGGCACACCTGTACACACAAAATGCTTGCATTGGAGCTCAAAGAGTTACCAAAGCTGCTACAATTGTAATTGGGTAAGCAAGGCTCACACCCATTGCATGCTGCACCAAATTGCTCTGCACTTCTGCAGGGACAGCACAGATAGCACTGACATTTTAGTTGAGCCTGGCAAAAACCCACAAATACCCCCAGTATTCCTCCACTGCCCTCTCTGCTTAAGGCTCTGCACTCAAATCCGTATGCTATCTCACTTTTGAAACTAAGCATTTACATTTTATATGTATAAAATGTGTGAAATCTGAGTGCTTATGGTAGAAGAGTGGACGAGGAACTACTGGGAAAAGCAGGAGATGTACTCAGTGAAACTGCAATGGTGCAAGGAGCATTCTGTGTGGATGCAGTGGACTTGGTACAGCTCAAACAGGATGGCTAGTCACAATACAATTCTCTAGTGTAGATAAGGCTAAGATACCAAGCACCTCTGCCAGCCCATTGGGTTTTTGCTACCACAGATACACAATTGGGAGCATACCTACAGCTAAGGGCCTTTGAACAAGCTTGTCAGGGGCATCAGTTGTATAAATGAAGGGGTAACAGTTATTGTGGCATGCAGGAAGCAGACACACAGGAACAAGTTGAGGAACAGGAAAGGTTTTGTGGAGGCAGAAGGCCAGTGCTGGAAGAGACTCCAAGCCTAAGAGGAACTGAGTCAGAGGGAAGGGCAGGGGCAGTCAAGTTTAGAGAGCGAGAGAGACGCTGACTCCCCCACAACAGTAGACAGAGAACCACTCTATGCAGTAGTGCAGTTTAGAGAATGATCTTTGTTTTCTGGACCCTAGGATATAACATAGGTCCGGATTAAAAAAGGTTATTCCCCTGCCACATGGCCATCAGTAGCCATAGCCT